ATACCCGAAATCTTTCTGTATACATGAGAAACGCTCCCCAAAAACATGGAAGTGGAAAGCACCTGTTTGTACAGGACAATGGTCATCCAAGGGGCCAATCTCCACTTCCACGATTGTTTCAGGGAGTGTAAGTCTTTCGGTCTTTCACTTGTGCACGACGTGTAGCAAAAACACAAAAGTTTGACCAGGCCGTTAAGTTGAAGTGGACATTGATGCCACTGGCGCCACTATGCAACCACAGAGGCCCTTGGCATGCTTGACACCAGCAGCGAACAAGAAGTAAAGAACCACCAGCTCCAATGGGTTGTGTCTGGACAGCAGGGGAGCAACCAAGTTCATGAATGGGTAGCCACCCCGGGCCTGTTTCTCCGTGCAGTCTGCGCCATGACTATGGCTACGGCGTTTGACCTTTTCACCCCAGCAGCTCTGTGAAACGCTGGACACGTCGCCTCGCGGTCGAAAGGCGCGGTGGAGATGTTTCGCAGCTTCGACAGGCAGTCCTGAACCGACCGCCGCTGAGGCGGACTGGGGCTAAGTTTGATGAACAACAATAGGAAAGTTCTCATGACACCTATCAGTGCAACAGAAAACTGCAGTCAGCTAAAGCAATTCAACACCTCTGCCTGAACCCCCCCAAAATCAACATCTAAACATATCTAAACCCACAATAGAAAACACATCTTATATATAAAACAGTTTGAAGATGGTTGAAGCTAGCCTACAGGCAAAGCAACAACGGGCCGCGACTTAATATTGGAATTTTTGTTGTTTCTTTTGTTGGATATGTTTTGTTTTTCGTGTTTCGTGGCAGGTGCAGTACTTTGTGGACCTTGCAGGGCACATTGCGTGGCAGGCGCAGGACTTTGTGGATGTGGAAGTGCAGAGTTGGTGGCAGGTGCGGGACTGTGTGGGCCTTGGAGTGCAGATTTTGTGGCAGGCGCAGGACTTTTGTGGGCCTTGAAGGTGTAGTACTTTGTGGCCCTTGGAGCAGATTTCGTGGCAGGCGCAGGACTTTGTGGACCTTGAAGTGCAGATTTCGTGGCAGATGCAGGACTTTGTGGATGTGGAAGTGTGGAGTTGGTGGCAGCTGCAGGACTTTGTGGGCCTTGAAGTGCAGATTTCGTGGCAGGCGCAAGACTTTGTGGACCTTGAAGTGCAGACTTCGTGGCAGGTGCAGTACTTTGTGGATGTTGAACTGCAGATAGATAGAAAGAAAGATAGATAGATAGATTAGATAGATTAGAGAGATTAGACAGATTAGATAGATTAGATAGAAGAGATAGATAAGAGATAAGATAAGATAAGATAAGATAAGAATAGATAGATAGATAGATAGATAGATAGATGAGGCATATTTGCTTGGTTAGAAAGTTTTGCACCGGGGAGTTCACCTTAAAATATTGATTTCGTGGCAAGCGCGGGTGTCGGGGATGAAGTGCAGATTTCGTGGCGGGGGGGGGGGTGGCGTTGCAGCTCCTCCGCTAGCGTGCGTGCGTGCGTGCGTGCGTGCTTGCTTGCTTGCTTGC